TGTGTGCGTGCCCAAGATCCCGAGAGGAGAATGGAGGAGAAGGGATTGCGGCGTGACCATCCCCCCTGGGAGGTGATTTCTCGCTTTCTATCTCTATGTCTCTCTGTCTGTCTGGCGAGCGCACGCGCCCTATAGCGAAAAACCTCTCCAAAAAAAAAAAAAGAGAGAGATAGGTTTAAAAAAATTAATTTTAAAAAGAGAGAGATAGGTTAAGGGTGCTGGACTGCTACACAGCCAACTGCAATTGGAGTCTCTGATCTACTGATTTGCTTTTTCACAACCCCCCACCGCCACCTCACTTGCTCTGTCCCCTCACTGGTCAAATTTAAGTAAAGTTAAATAAAATAATTTTTTTATTTTTTAAAGAATGGTAGCTTAAGGAAGTTTCCACTGTAGTTCATAGTGGTTCTTGTCCTATGTTAAGGAGAAGGAGATAAGGGTGATTGAAATCCAATCCAAGGGTTGTGATGTATGATTATTATATCTGCCCTATAAAAGATGGAAGAAGCTGGAAAACCTTAGACCAATTCTAGTTTAATAAATGTTCATATCCCCCACCTACTATCATGAAGCCTATTTTATAATTTTAGGAAAAATAATCTAGAAATACTTTAAAGACTACTTACTTAATACACAAACTCCAGCCAAGACCTTGTTATAGAAAATGGTGGTTTGGGGTAGCTACAAGGAGTCTTGCCTTTCTCAGATTAGGACTGTTTCTTGTCCCAAACCAAAATTCTTTTTTCTTTTTTTTCCCAGGGGAACTGGTCTTAGTTCTATGTGTTAGCAGAAAATTAATTCTAATGAAATGCTCTTTCACTAATGTATAAATCTAAAGGTTTTTTTTTAATATTGGATTGTCAGAAAAGTCATGATGTATTTTGTAATGTTTTTCTATGCAAAAATGCATCATGACTTTTCTGACAATCCAATAGTATGCTGGTCCTATAATTTCTTTGAAGCTATGCTTTCTTTAAATGAACTTTTTTTTTTGTATGATGAAAACGTAGATCTCCAGAAGAGGGTAGCAACTGCAATTTGAATACCTGTCGTGTTTGTAAATTGAGGAGACAGATTTACTCATTTAATTCAAAGAGGACAACCATTGTGATCTCTTTGTTTTCTATTAGGGAATGTAACTGGGGGACCAGCAGATGGCGTAATGGTTATGTCACTGGACTCCCATGTAGTTTACTATAGTTCAAGTCTTGGACCCAGTGGCTTAAAACCCACTCTGGGCCTATGTGTTTGTATGCCCAAAATTCCAAGAAGAGAATGAAGAAGGGATTCCAGCATGGCCATCCCCCAGGGGGTGATTTCTGGCTTTCTATCTCTGTCCAGCGAGTGCACTCACCCTAAGCAAAAAACTGGAAAAAAAAAAAAAAAAACAGGGAACTGTAACTGGTAATATTTTCTGTTCACATGGAAAGTCCATGCCTTTCTTCATTGTGTGCCATCTATTAAATTTTTACTAGATTTAGTACAAATCAGCCAGTAGAGACATTGTTGTCAAGAGTATTTAGGACTGAAAGCTGATTGAATAATCAAATGTATAGGCATCCCAATTTAAGGTACCCCTTTGTGAAAACTTGCTGAAGCAACAATTTAACTTTATCTTAGGAAATCTCTGAAATCTAAACTTTCTTCTTCTAGGGCACCATTACTCCCAACTCCATGAGGAAAATCTGTACATATTTCCACAGAAAGTCCCAAGATGACTTCTGTAGTCCTGAACACTCAACAGAATTATAGATTCTAATCTGAGTGAGTTTCTGAAACTTTGGGGCCACTGAAAGATGATTAAAATGCAACAGAATGACTATAACTCTGGTCTTAAGAGTGCTGCCATCTTTTCATTTTTAGAGAAAGTTCATTTAACTCTGAAATGCACTCTGGTTCTGCTATCATAGTATATAAGCAGCTTCCATGGAATTAATGCTGTGTTTAAATTTCATAAATTTGTTATGCTGTAGCATTTTGAATGAATAGTCTTTTAAAATGATGCATCTTTTCTACAATAATGACAGCTCATGGAGGCAAAAAACACATGTCTTTTATTATCCTGAAACTTTCTGTACACAGTGGAAAGTATCTGCCAGCCATAGCAGACGACCAACAGCTGCTGAAGAAATCATCTTCTGAAGACCCCTGGATCTGTTCTGCCTCAAACAAGTATATTATTTGAAATATATAATCTTTTCACTATGCTTTTATGATTTTTTTTGCAATATGTGTAAAAATTTTATCTTTAAGTACATTTATATAGGTTCAATGTTAAAATACAGTTTATTGAGTTAGAAGTTATCTTTATTTTAAATGCAGTGATAAATGTCAACTCTTTGGAGAACCTAGGAGAACAACATTAGAAAGCTGTAGTCATCTTTTCCCCAAAAATCTACCTCCCTTAAGTGATTTAAGATTTCCATATTTTTACCAAGAAATCTGTGTTTCCAAGCCATTTACTGGAGGAAGATGTTTTATAAAACCAAAAGTCATACACTGAAGCTGGGGTTTGAATTCAGGTGCAGTCCTCAGTTCTCTTGGGACTACAGATTTTTAAAAAACAAGTTATTCGATTTTAAGAAAAATGATAATTTCTTACTGATATTTTTATATAAGAAAATAGCTCTGAACGGAAACCCTAACCACCACCCCCCAAATAATCTTGATTTTCATTTCATGTATATGAAAATCAGCCTTCTAATAGAGCCCTGACCC